CAGGAGGCCTGGGTTCAGGTGCTGGTTCCTCTACCAAGTGGCCTTAGGCAAGTCACTTCCCTCTCTAAAACCATTTTCCTCACCTGTCAAATCCACAGAATTTGACTGACTTGTCTCTTAAGAAAGATCCTAGTGCCAATTCTATGACTCTAGCCTGGGCCTTGAAGCTCCCGGAACCTTTGTCTCTCATTTATAAACTGGAGACAATAAGCCCTGGATGGCTGCATGTCAGAAGCATGTCAATGGCACTTCTTACTAAGTCTCATCCCCCTACATCTGCTAGCCACAGGGGTGACATTTTCTTTTGCTCACCACCATTTCCTTCCAGGAAAGAATGAGACACTTTATGGCCATTGTTCATAAAGCTTCTCACTTCTTCCTGGATGTCCCTCCAAAGCAGTGTGGGAAGCTTACCTGGTTGGACTTCCGGCACCTCTTATTATCAGAACAAGTTATCTGACTTCTGGGGACCTCAGTGTCCTCACTATAAACTGAGGATAATAATATCTAAGATAAGTAAGAGAACATAAAAGCATTTCAGTGCACTGCCAAGCACATATTTGGCACTCAATAAAAAATTAACTTATCTTCATCATCATCACCTTATCTAGACCCCAAGATGAAGGTTCCCAAGTTGGGGCCCTACCCTCAAAGAGCAGAAGACAGATACAAAAAAGAAAACATATATTGTTGGACGAGTGGTACAAATTTAATCTTCACGATGACCCTATTGTTATCCCCTTTTTAGGGATAAGAGCACTGAGATTCACAGGGCTTAAGTAACTTGCCCAGGCTGGTAAAAGGCCAAGCTGGCATTCAACCTCATGTAGATCTAATACCAAAACCCATATTTTAACCTCTGATGCAGAGAACAGGAAGAGAATAAAGCAAAGAAAGGGAAGGGAAGCCTTAGCCCTAATTCCGAGCCTAGTCTCCAGCCAGCCTTCCTCTATCCTTCACCCCACCTCACCCCCAGCTTAGCACTTGGCTGCCTGGAGGTGTGAGGTATTTCAGTGAATCATTAATTAGCACAGATGCAGGCAAAAGTCAGCAGCATTACAGGCACTATCTTCTGCCAAATGCCCTGGTTTTCTGAAAACCCAGAGCCCAGCATGGGAGCAGGTAGAGGAGAAGAGTTAACTGTCACTCATGTCCTGGAGAAGTCAGTCCTCTGAAAGTCACCCCTCAGTGTGACTGTCACTCCATGTGTTCCAACTCCCTCTGTGAGATGAGACAAAGAAGCAGCTCCTGGCAGGAGGTAGCCAGAGGCCTGCAGGCGTTGACTGAGGAACTCAACAGAACTCGTACCTGTGAATCTTACCCCACACACAGCCAGTTACCACCCATCCATCAACAGCCACTGAGGCTAGGATTACAGGAACACAAAAACCAGGCTCAGAAATCCTTGGGCAACCAAAAGACCCACAAAGGGAATTGTAGGCATGGAAAGTCATTCATGTACTCAACAAACACCAATTGAGTATTTGCATAGGCATCAGGGGTATCAAGTGAACAAGACAAATGTATCCCCTGCCTTTCAGAAGCTTAAAACCCATGCACATGCTTATTAGGGTTTCCTTCTGGGGTGATGAATGTTTTGGTATTAGACAGACATGGCAATTCCAGGTACTCAACATGCACATGCTTATTAGGGTTTCCTTCTGGGGTGACTAGACAGACATGGCAATTCCAGGT